AGAAGTTGTGATATATCTTATTAAAGACTTTCTTTTACAATTTCTTCTATCTGAATTGAATTCATCAGTTCAGTATACAGTATCTGCAATCTTTAACTATATCTTATACATTCTTTAACTGTCTGTACTGTGCAATGAGATCATTTCAAAGACACTGATATTCATGCTTTAATTTTCTCAGCTTTATATCTTTCTTAATCATTTTCTTCTGATCATCATTTAGATGTTTTGAAGTGAAGAGATCACAGATAAGATCTGAATAATAGAAGAGTTCAATCAGAGTATCTTTGATTACTGTTTCAAGAAACACTGACTGTATATTTATATTCATATATTGATTGACATATTTCTGAAAGATATGACTCTCTGCATAATTCATTATATAATTTCTCTGATGTTTGATTGTATTCTCTGCATAGCAGTATATATCAGAGACTCTATATATTCTCTAGCTATGAGAATAAATCAATCATTGAAGTGCACTGCAGCTTTCTTTCTATACTTGTATAATAAGCTCAGATTTTCAAGATCTGTGTCTATACATAACTTTGCCTCATTCTCTTTAAATTAAACTGCTGTTAGAGCTCTTGTTGAATGAGTAGTTCAGTTTTTATATACATCACAGACTTCAGGTCAGAACACAGACATGTCTCTTATAAAAGCTTTAAAATAAATTGATGTGCTTTTTCTGTGTGCTGGCACTTTGATATGATGTCAGATATCTCAAGACTTCTTGATATACTCACTGCTGAAGGTCTGATTTATAAATACAAACTCTATTATATTCTGAATGATATAAAATGCTAGATTATCATTTTATTCAGTGTATATAAAGATTGAACTGAAGATAAAGATCAGTTCTAAATTTAAAAGATAAGTCAGTGATAGAACTTACAGCTTACTCTTATTCTGCTTATCTTTATTAAGTCAATATATCATTCTTATAAGAAGAATCTGATAGAATGAATACTTGAGATCTGTAATTATGAAGAGTTCAAGATCTTCTTAGAGAAGAGTATTATTCATTCTGCAGTACTCTAAGCTTTTAAGAATGATTTCTAAGTGTGTAGATGTTACTGTCATTATCTTCTGTATTATTCTATACTAACTTCTCTATCTATGTGTTGAAAAGAACACTGCAGATAGAGCTGCAGTATATAAAAGATAGAGAAGAGAATCTGTATTATAAGATGACTGAGACTTAACTATCTTATATAGACTGTATTCAATTTTGATTATAGTACAGATGAGCTACAGAAACAGTGAGATATATCTGTTGAATTCATAATACAGATAAATATATCTCTTTTATCTTATGCTTCAGATTATAGAGAAAGTCTTTATTCATCTCATAGTAATAATATATTCTTCAGAAATGAACCAGTATAAGAAAGCCTGATAGAGATTTCACATTATACTTATCAAGATATCAGTGTAGAAAGATCTTAACAAGATTCATTATTAAATTCTTCATCTAGTAGTATAAAATGAGTGAATTAAGCTTCTTCTCAATGAATCTAAAGAAATAAGTAAATGATTAGAAGAATGAAGAGAGTTATACAAACTTATCTTTTATAGCAGTTTCTTATCTGCTGCATGCTAACTTTTGTTAAATTCTCAAGATCTGATTTAACATCTTGAGATGAACTGTGAACAATCTTCATATAATAATTCTTATATTTTTCAATTTAAGGTTTATTCATCATGATAAGGCTCAGATCTTGATACTAAATAGAATAGAAGAACACAATTTTGTATGAAATGAAAAGCAATTCATGTATATTTCATCTGAGACACACTTGAGGGCATAGTGGTATATATACCCAGCCATGATGAATTTGATTGCTTTGATCCTCATGAGTTGAGTCTGAATAGAAGCGCTGGTATCAGTAAATTTAGTAAAAGTGATTACTCAGTAACTGAACACTCAATAAAAGCAGTGAGCTCTTCAAAATGAAGTGCTATATAAAATGTACTTAAGGCCACAATCAGTGCAATCAAATTAAGCGTCACTCAGAGTCACTCTGTACTCCGTAGGTCACGCAGACAAGGCCTCTGACTCGCGCAATGAGCGTCAGAGAGAGCTAAAAATCATCATTATATTCTTCTTCTCTTGAACTTGAACTAACTCTGAATAAACAAGAACTGCAGTTCATTCATATATATTTAATTCCAGAAGAATGGTGATATTTTGATAATGAATAATGTACAGTAATTACAGTACAGTACTTCCTTCTTTTTACTTTCTGATGATCAGGTTAGTTATTCTCTGCTTGAATTGACAGACAAACAGTTCTCTAGCAGATATGTGTGTACATGTACAGAGTACATGTATGTTCAATATACCTAGCTCTAGAAGAATGTAAAGAGTGACAGCTTTTCTTTTTCTTTTCTTTTCTTTTTCTTCTTCCTGTCTTGCAGAATCAGAAGTTATCAGTATAGTATACAGTTTCAGAATTTCTTCTAGAAATGAAGTGGTTTTTTGCTCTCTCTTTTCTCTGCTCTGATATGATCAGTTACTATTATTTCTCTTCTTTTCTTCCTGTACAGAGAAATATAATAATAATAGAAAATATCAGAAATATATTCAATCACTCTCACTACTCTGTACTCTGTACTATACTGAATTCAAGATTGAGAGAGACTGTGCCTTCATTTCTACTGTGTGAAATCAACAACAGTTCAGCAGATAAAAGTTAGTTAAGACAGAGAAGTTCTTTCATATAATAGTGTTCAATTGAGAGAATTTCATCATTCTTCTTAAAAAGTCTTCTACTCTTCTCTTCTTCTTCTCATGTCAGATATCAGGCACAATGTTCATAATTTACTGATTGAAGAGTTATTATTATATACTCTGTAGTTACTGCACTGAGAAACAGCTCAAGAGTCAAAGCACAGACTCAGATTGAATGAAGTTTTCTCAGAAGAAATGTTACTTAGTGATAAGAATTTAAGCACAAAGTTGAACTAATCATATTATTATTATTATTATTATTATTATTATTTATTAAGACTCTGACATGATATGACTGCTAGTTATTATTATTATTAAGAAACTGTCACAGCATTTTATTAACTTATATAAGTCATATAATTAATTACCTAGTTACTAGTTAAGAAACAGAAGAGTTAAGACAGACACAGTGATTAATCACATTATTATTCTACTAATCTCACTGACTGTTGCATTTCCTCTCCTCTATTCACTCTCTATTCAACTATTAATCAAGTCACAGACAAGTTCTTCACTTTAGTAGAGCTCTGGTTGAAATATCAGAAGAAAAAAGAAAGTTGAAGAAGAGATGAATAAAAAGTTATTCAGTGCAGTGCTCAGTGCAGTGTTCACTGTCTCAGATAAGGTGAACACACTGATAGATACAGAGTACAGAGTAGATAGATATGATATAAGCCTTAGAACAAAGATATCACTGTGAAGAAGAAACACTGAATGATTTCTTTTATAAACTGTTGTTAGAACTCTCTAGATCTAGATCTTATTAATTGCTTTTCTCAGTATCTTCACCACAAGTCAGGAGACAGAAGAAAGAAAGATAAGAAAGAAAGAAAGAAAAGAAAGAAAGAAAAGAGGCTCTCAGCCCAGCTCAGCTTGGCTGTGAATGAGATGAGTTTGTGTCTGAGTTGTAATAAGAACATGTGTTGGATAATGTGACAGTTTCATGTGCTTTTTGTGTCTTTTCAAAAACCTCAATAACATCTTGTCTTGTCTTGTTCTTTCTTGAGATGTTCTTTTGAATTCAATCTTACTTACACAATTTACATGCTGCTAGCAACTTATTATTGTAGCAGCAGCAGTAGCAGCCTATTCATTCTAGAACCAGCTTCAAACATGCCTCTACCATACTATATATAGCATGCTCCACCGGTCAAACCCCCGCTATCTATTATTCTATCTATATATCTATACTCCGTACTCCTCCCTCTGCAGCTACTACCCACCCCTTATCTGCGAACTAACTAACTAACCCTGCTGGGTCCTCTCACCTGCATTTGGCAAACTTGTTCAGGGTCTGGTATATGCAATATGCAAGATGCAATATGCAGTGGCCTGGGGCGCGGCTTGGTTGAGGAAGATGAGTTTTTATTTTATTTTTATTTTTACCCATCCCCCCGCAGTCCAATGTCGGACAACCTGCCCATCTCTGAGTGATTGTATTACTGTACAACGCTGCATACTGCATACATACACATACATAAAGAGAAAGCCCGGTTTAATCCTGCGCATTCGCATGAAACATAAACCATACCTTGCTTGCTTGGGGAGCCGTTTGAAGCCGGGTTTGATTCCTTGCGGCATCATATGTATGTGCTTGCACCACAAAACCTGTCTCATGCACATGTACATGTACATGTAATGTACATACTCTACTACTTACTGTTGTACATACATTCCTTTATCGGAGGAAAGTCGGGGGTTTCTGCCTTGCTTTAGATATGGGTGGGTTGCCCTCCCTCTGTCTAACTTCCTTTTTGGAGGGGATTTTTCATCAGCCATGGGCATGGTCGCGCCAGCATCTTTTTCACCAGGTTCCCAGTCTTCCTTTTTTGTTTTTTGTTTTTTCTTTTTTCTTTTTTTCTTTTTCTTTTTTTGTTCCCTCCAACTTCTTGAGTCTTATGGCAGACATTGGTGGGTGAGTGGGTGAGTGGGGGAGTGGGCTGTTTGTGACGGCCGTTATTTGAAACCGCCATGATGGATGGTGGTTGCAAGAAAGCCTGGTGGCGATCAAGGAGGGAATGGAATGGAGAGGTGAGAGAGATGGCATTAAAAGATATAGGAGCTGTTGTTTATGATATAGAGATGGAGTGGGTGACATCAGAAGGAGTTTGAAGTACCTCGTAATGTATGTGGTTGTCCTTGCCGGTCATGGTCATGATATGTGTGTGTGTGTGTATGTATGTATACTAGATTTCTTCCTCTGTTTTCATTTTCCATCATTATGTTTCTACCCACGGCAAATTTTATATTTTGTTTTCTACTTAAGTTTTCCTTTCATATCATATTTTTCATTGTTTCATCTCTAAGGTATGTTAATTATGTATTCCTCACTAATAAATATTAGAACTTACCCCATGTCATGATATCACTTGCATGCGAAGAACCCCCCCTATTTCTTCTCCTCCCGCCGTCTTCATGGTACATGTTCATACATACATCTCCGATCATATCGATCATATTTGTCAAACTCCCATACCCCGTCAAATATCCCACCTTTATTTCCTAGTTCCCGGGCCCCTCGGTTTTGTCTTAGAACGTCTTGGAAACCGCAAAACGATGCAAATGGGGTATAAAAATAACGGAAAAAAAAAAAAAAAAAAAAAACCAGATCCCTCGACCCGCCATGCTCTCACCATCCATACGATAAACAAACCCCTTTACCAACCTGAACCCTGGAACCGCCTCTCTACCTAGCACTGGCGCCCCTCCCTCAACCTTTGGGGGTCGCTTCTTGCACCTGTATTATTCAAATCCCATCCCATATCCCATCCCGCTCCCCATACACAATCCTCCTTCTCTTCCCGGAGATCCGATCCTGGATCTCCTCGTAGACCTTGTCTTCCTCTTCTTTGTCGTCTTCCAGATAGTCAAAGACACTGCGTTTTTGTCCGTTTATCTTTCTCGGCGGCCTTGCTGACGGTGGTGGTGAGGAGGGTTGGTTTTCACCGCTGACATTAGGACTGGTCTCGCCGTTGTCGTAGTCATCGTCGTCGTCGTCGTCGTCGTCGTCGTCGTCGCCGCGATTGCTATTATCGTTATTGTTATTGTTACATTTAGAAGCCTCGCAGACGCGGACCCCCTGCGCGAGGCTGGCGACACCGCACACCTTCGCGTGCGGCAGTTTTATGTCCTTGATCGGCTGCTTGCTATCGATGGTGTCGCTCTGCTGGTTATGGATGGGTCCTATTTTCATTGCCTGGATGTATGGTGTATTGGGCAACTGGGGTAGGACTGGTTGTGGTTGTGGTTGTGGTTGTGGTTGTGGTTCTGTATCAATGTGCGCTGTCGGTGCGCTTCGGGTCAAGATTGAGATGGGCTCGGGTAGCTGGTGTTGCCACCGCTGCTGCTGCCGTTGCTGCTCAGGGGTGTCCTTGGGCTCATCGCTCCTCCATGCATCTGGACTGAAGGGCATGCGGAGGCGGGATCCATTGTTTTCTTTATCGTAGTTATTAGAGACTGTCGGCTTAGGGTAATCTCCTTTTGCTGCTGCAGAGTCCATGTCCTTCGATTGCGTTTCTACCTTCTCATCCCCAGCCCCAGCCTCAGACCCATTCATATCCACATCCCCTCTTACTTTCATCTCTGAACTTGTAGTTGAACCAGCGCGCTCCGGTACGCATTGCCCGCTATCCTCGCAGGGATAAATCCTCCGCTGCCTCGCCGTATCCACAAACCGTAATTTCTCCCCCACCCGATTTTTAGACGCAGCCCTCTCCTGCGGGTAAAGAATGTGATGAACCATGAGCGGATATGGTATATACGGCCACTCCAGCGGCGTCTCTCTCGTCTTTTTCCACAGCGAGAGACTGCCGGGCCCCAGGCGATCATCGATGTTTTTGCCGGATATTACCTCGCGCTCTTTGGGTCTCCACTGCTTCTCGACCCGCTTGTACAGCTCTTCAAACTCCGCTTTGTATGCCGGGTTGGTGAACCACTCGTGGGAAACGGCTTGGTCGGCCGTCATGCGCGCATCTTCGTCTAGGATGAGGAGTTTGCGGACGAAATCTTTTGCTCTTAGGCCGACGCGCTGCCAGTCCTTCTCCTGCTCGAGGGTGCTGAGGTCGCAGTTGCGGGCCATGGCTTGGGAATACTGGCCTGTTTTGACATCGATGAATGGTGATCCTCCGGTTAGCAGGACGACTGTAAGACAGCCTAATGACCACATGTCGACTGCCTTTGTGTATCCTCTTCCTTTGCCCGAGGATGCTGATGGTGGTACCTCACTGGATTTGAGATGTGTAAGTAAATTAAGTTTCACGCCTTCATATGTCACGACTGGCCAGGACAACAGAGATATATATATATATATATATATATATATATGTATATACTTACGGTGCAGTATATTCAAATGTACCGATTGAAGTCTTCATCCGACAGCTCTCTTTCTCAAGACGCCGCGCACAGCCAAAATCTGTCAGGACGACACGTGCACCGTCTGAAAGCGACGTCATCAGAATGTTATCAGGTTTGATATCGCGATGCACAATGTTGTTCTTGTGAAGATAGCGTATGGCGAGGGCCACTTGGCGCACTATTACCGCAGTCTCCGAATCAGATAGGTTAAACTCTTTGTACTCGAGAAATGAAAATAGGTCTCCTGCAGTAACTAGCTCCTGGAAGATATACCTATTGTTTTTTTATGCAGGTCAGCATCACCCCATGTTCCCTGACTCCCGTAGCCCTGTGGAGAAGATGATTAACTTACATCGTGTTCTCGCCCCTGATCACTTGTTCGAGTCTTATGATATTCGGCTAATTTCGCCTGATCAGCTTTGTGATATAAAGCAATCGCTGGAAAAAACAGGAGAAACCCCATACGTGATCCAGATCTTTCAAAATATCTACTTCCCGTTCATAAACTCGAAGCTTTGCCTCGATGGCCAAGGCCTCCTGTCTCCTTTCAGCCCAGTATTTGACTTTCTCCGCCTCCTCCTGGACATCGACCTCAGCGGCAGGACGGGGGGCCCGCAATTCAGTACGCTTCCTCCATTTAATGAGATGGAGCCGTTTCTTCCAGTTTCCAATGTCGATAATTTTGCAAGCAAGCTGCTTCTTGTGTTCCATGTTTACGGCCATATAGACTCTCCCGTATGCGCCACACCCCAGCAGCCTATTTGAGATTTTATATCTCTCTTCGAAATGCTATAATTGTTTATTTTTTTTTTTTTTATATCTCGGTTAGTTCTTTTCATTCTCCTGGTTACGAGCTATGTAATCGTAGAAGGGTAGTAGAGTAATGACGAAAGCGAAATGGAAGGGATGCAAACCCTCATCTCCCTCAGTTGTGCTTCACTGAAGGGTGTCCTCCCGTCTCCCTTCGAATGAAACGAGAGGACAGTGAGATCGGACAGTTTCAGCTCATCATTGTCACTCAACAGTATCGCAGGATCTTCCTTCGTCATTTCTAATGATTTCCACATGGTTCCATATCGAGATAAGCTCTGCGCGTACACCAGGGGCCCAACCTCACCCGGATTTTCTTTGTCAAAAATGATACTGTAGATCCGCAGATGTTTGTTGGAAATTGACATATCCCCTGCGATTACCGCGTCGCTGTATATAAGCCAGGTAGGTTAATTTGTTAGTATATTCAGCAGTTAACTTATATGCTAGTGATCGACACCCCCCTTTCCTTCGGGGCCATTTTTCGAGCCTACCATGACTTGTAATTGCGGCCAATTATGAGTTCCTTATTCGCGTAAATGTAGATTTCTATGTGCCGAACATGTCCTTGGTTAGATAGGGAGAGGAATCTTGACAGATATGAGGAGATGATTAGGGAATCGTAGACTTCACACGTACTTCCAACGGGGTCTGGCAGGGACATGCCTCTCTGCCACACACGTAGGTATCCGAGAGGAGAGCTTGTGGGGGAGGAGGAAGAGCTGTCCGACGCAACGGATGAGGCCATTATTGTTGCTGGGAATGGGGAAGTAAGCATTTGATTACCACAACCCGTGACGTTCGCTCACGCTATCTATAGAGTGAAGTTGTCTGATATAGCATGGAAATATCGGGTTTTAAGCAGAAATAGATAGAATAGAGGCCGTTGTGTAAGTGTAAAATGGAAAAGATAGAATGAAGTGTATTTCATTCTGTAATAATAAGAATGATAACATGTCATCTAACGCGAAAGGGAGTTGCAGAGACGCGAGAGAAGTGAATGAATGAGATATACTTCACTCACAGCACATAAGCTGTTGTTTCAAAACACCTGATATAGATAGATCTCTCCCTCTCCACCATCACAAGGCACTTCCCACCAGCTCTCTAAAAGGAACAACATCCCAAATGAGTTGTGGAAATAGACTCTATCATTGTTTGTTTTGTGCAATTATATCTTCCGGCAATTGCTCTTGCTCTTGGTTTCTTTCACATTGGAGAAACCTGGCGTCTGTGTCTTTGTTCATGTCAAATGTTGGAAACCCTGGGAAACAACCTGGGCAGATGGTCTCAGGGTTGTAACCTTTGCCCGAACTAAGCCTCTTGGTTGACGCGCGGTTGTTTCCAGAAGCTAAATGTTGATTTATATGGGCAATATAGTTAAATTAGTTCTGGTTCATACCACGAATCCTCCAATTGGAACAGCTGCGAGACAAAATGTCCAGGGCAAAAAGAAGTATGATCTTAGGCCTCTAGGGATTCATCCGCAAAAGGGACGTTTATTAACAGAAAAAATAAATAAATAAATAAAATAGAAAATAGATAGAAAATAGAAAATAGAAAATATGGCCAGCTCCTGACGGTGGGGGTTGAAGCGAATAGAGCAAGATACGAGACCGCTTGCAGCTACAGCAAGGAGTAGTAGATATTCGTCTAAACGCCAGTGGAAATAGTCTGACCGAAGTCCTTCTTGAGATAGGATAGGGATGATGCCGGTAAGGTAACATCAAGTGCAATCCCGCAGCAGGGATATTCATTCATCATTATCAAGAAAGGAAACCGTTCTTCGCGATAGCTATGTAGTTTCACGGGATGCTTGTCAATCGTTAGTTTGCTCGGGGGGGTTGAGATGGTTAGATCCTTCGTATGGGGTATTATGCGCCAACCTTCCTTGATGAAGTGCTCTGTTGAGAAAGTAGTGCGTTTCTAATTGCTGAGTTACGCTTGACAATGGGGCTGGATCTTTCCAGAAACATGTAAACTAGCAGAACGTACCTCCCGCAGTAAGGATGGTAAATCCCCGAGCATTTACGTGCGGATAGTGGGAAAAGGCTACTATCAACCACAGGATACGATAAGTATGAAATTCTCTAGATCTAACAATCACACCCCACCACCACCAGCCTGCATCCTCCGAATCCGTTCCTCCGCAGCCCTCGCCCGCCTCTCCCGCTCCAGCCTCGCTCGCATCTCCGGCGTCATTCCCCTCATCTCCTCCTCCCGCTTCTCCGCAACCGTCTTCTCCAGCAGGATACGCCCGCCCTGCCTTTTCGCGTTCCCGATGGCCCTTTCCGCATCCTCCCGTTTCAAACGTTCCGCCTCAGCCTTCCGCCTGCTAGCCTCTGCGTCGGCAGCAGCCTGCCTCTCACGTTCTGTTCTGCTATCCGCTTCCATCTTGGATATCGCGGATGGAACGTGGGCTGCGTCCCAGTTCCATTTTGTTTCGCCGAGCTCATGGCGGGCGACGCGGAAGGCGTCGCGGGTGGGTCTGTCGCCGGCTAGGTCGAAGGGTGGCTTGCCCTCTCCGTTTAAAACCGTAGGGTCGGAATTACATTTGGTGAGGAGGGCCAGGACGATTGCAGGGGAGTTGGAGCTTGCGGCTAGATGTAAGGGTGTGGGGGAGTGGTGGGTTTGTTGGGGGGAAGAGGTGTGAAATGTGAATGACGCAGGGATGGAATTGTTTGCGATATAGGAGATTAAAGCGGGGACTTTAGAGCGGCGGATTAGAGCTTGGATTTGGGCAGTGTGCACTAACAATGTCTCCTCCTCACTGGATAATTTTGGCTTTTGCCGTTGTGACTGCTGTGGAGGTGGTTTGGGCGATTTGGAGAGGGCTTCACACTGCTTTTCAGCTTCAAGCGCGAGTGCCGCTTCATCGATATGGCTAACTTTCACCCGAGTTAGTTCCGTGAACGCTCTCATAAGTTCCCCCTGTGTGGCTCGCCGTGTTGTAAACGGGAATCCACGGAGTCTGGCATCCGACTGTCTGAGCACCTGCCCATCGTGTGGCCCAAATAGAATTCTCCGATTAGTGTTTCCTGTCGCTCTTACGAAGAGCAATTGTGCCTGGTCGATCATTTCTTTCCATCCCTCCAACAACTGCCTGATTTCGGTTTGCAATGCGGCTTCGTTGTGCCGCCGGATCGACGCACCTGCAGAATGTGCAGCGCCATGTGCAGCATCGGCGGCGGATTGGGAGCCACCTTGTTTCCGCCTCGTTGTGTATCGATGAAATGTCTTATGAGCAAGTACTCTTGCCTGCCGCTCCTCAATTCCACCGGGCTTCTTTATTATCTCTGGAGTTAATGCCACTACCATTGCCGCGAAATGGCCGCCGCCAATCATACAGAGGAAAATGTGAGGGGTGGGTTGTTGGAGTTCGCTGATTTTATCATTCGCGTGCGAAGCTTTGTTTGGTTGATACGGTGCTGCCCTGTATTGCTTATTCTTCAGAGACTCTAATAAATGGTCCGGTTCTTCTTGCTCTATGTTGGTGAAAAGCGCTCGATAGATACCCAAGGATGTCGTTTGTGGGAGCGAAGGGCTCGAGAACCACAGTAATGGATGTTTCCCCGGTTTATTTTTCTGCTTCGGTATTATCTCATCCGCTTCTGGTGTAGATGATATTTTCTCTTGTTTCTTAAGGAGTGCAGTGAGTATGGTATCAGGAGTTTTCTGCCCTTCCTCAACCTCCTCTTCTTCGTCCGATGAGGATTCAGACCCGGATATCGACTCGTCCAGCTCTCCAATGGCCTTGTTGAACTCGACTTCGTTTAACACAGGAGTTCCCCGTATTCGTGACTTCAGGTTGTATCTGTGGTGATCTGACTTTACGTGCTCCCTTTGCTCCTGGACGTTCTGGAAGGAGACCTGGCATAACGAGCATGACGTAACGCCGACGACTCCATCGGGCCTTTCCCCTTGTTCTAGTGTCTTATGGCGCTCGTCTGGTTTGAGAGGAATGGGGGTAGGCACGCTAGTAGGCTTATGTGATAGAGATGCAAGTAGTCCTGCTGGGAGATCGAATACTGAATATAGATCCAGGAGGGTTCGTCCTGTGGTTAGCTTCCCCGCCATCCCACGAATCAGAGTAGGGAGGGTACGGAGTACACTCACCGTATAATGGCCGTTTCAGAAACTCTTCTCCCTTATCGGTGCCTGGCGCCATGGCCACAATGTCTTCTTCTGAGAGTTGAAATTTAGGAATGTCTTGATGTCCAACGGCCCTCTCCTTTCACATCTTTGCACTGTTTATATATATATAAATATCGTTAGAGGAGGAGGAGCAATGACTGTGCGCTAGTCCATATCTAGTTAGTAAAATCCACTCTGCCGTCAACCACCAAATTAGCCTTCAGCTTGGCTGCATCAAAAAGTGTCAGAAAAAACTAGGCTGCGTAGCTGCGATTCTCGAAGAGTCATATTTTCCGAGTTATTTTGGCTAGCGGTGAGATGCTCCGTGTGCCGCTTTCAACAGATCAACGGTTGGGAGCTCTCCCATGTTTTCGATGCCGTGTTCGTGGTTGAAGCCGCCACGCGCTGCATCGAGGGGTGGAATTAGTGCCAGCAGCTCGACCTCGGTCTCCCATGGTGTGGTAGTAGGAGGTGTATACAGAAAACTTGACCTCGCTAAGTGCGCCACTTGACCTCATTACATAATCATGACCCTGACCTCACACAATACAGTAATAATCAGTTGGTAATTGACTTTCAATCTTTCAATTCACTCATTCATTCAGCTCATCAATCAATCAAAGCATGTATAGCTGATTTATAATCAATTAAATAAACAGATAAATTCATATAGAATATAAAGAGATGTTTTACAGAATTTTAAAATATATTAAGATAAAAATATTTAATAATTAATTTTAAATTGATTTTAAATTGATTCTGAATTGATTCTGAATTAATTGTGACGGGCTGCGCCTGATCAATCATATAGACTATTCCGTTACACTCTCTTGAAGAATAACATTGTTGTGTTGTAATCTAACTACGCGAGTTACACTAAATAGGTTGGGGTGGCACGTGACTAGGGTAGGTGTAGTAATCACCAACTGCTACACCGTGGTCTATAAGCCGCCACCCGGGGCCTCCCCCATTCTCAAATCTTTCAAAAATGCAATAATAATTAATTACATCAATCAGACCCTGATTTCCTCATTAGGAAAGGTGTCTGTACAGCAATAACTGTAAAAATCAAGAAATACATGCAAAATTCATTGATCTGCTGTATCATCATTATCATTCAATCATTTCTTCTTCTTAATTTTCTGAATGTCAACTCTTTTGATAAAATCTTCAAATGCAGGCTTCACCAGTGACTTGATGAGACTGTCAGCTATGTTTGCTGTAGAATTAACATGTTTCATCATGATTTCTTCTTTTTCAATCAAATCACAGAGAATATAATATCTAATCTCAATGTAATGTAATCTTCATGTTAAGAATTCTTTCTTTGCTAGATCAATTGCTCTTTTATTATCAACTTATAAATGTAAGCATATCTTCACTTTTTCATCATTCATCAATTCAGTGTTATATAACATATTATTCAATTAGATTATCTTATAAGCTGTCTCACTAGCTGTAATATACTCAGCTTCTGTGATTGATTTAATAATAGATGTCTGTCTCTGTAACTGTTATGAGATCAGTGACCTGTTAATCAATATAACATAGCTGATAGTCAATTTATATTAAGAATTCACCCCTGCTCAGTCTGAATCACAGTATGTTACAGAACTCAGATTATCTTCTATCTTCTTCTTATACAATATATTATGATTTTTCATCTTCTTGATATAATGTAGAACATGCTTCAACACTGCTCAACATACTTTGTATAAATGTGTAAGAAATCCCGCTCCTCGCGGATCCTTTACCCCTATTCCTATCTCTCATGTAATCAATAGGGCTAGCGGCCCTTGGCTACACACAACTATATAGACTGGAGTTCACAAATACTATTCATAACTCAGCTTGAATGCTATTATACACTTAATCTCTACATTTATCTTTCTACTGTGAACACTTCTAGTAGTTAACAGTACATATCATGTCAAGCTGCAAACACCTGAATAATCACCTGTGAGCACTTATTCTTACATTTCAAGCTCAGTCAGTCAGCAATCACCTGTTATAACTGAAAGAACTAGAAACTTGTATACTTCAACTCCTGTGAACTCTACTACAGACACTTAGAAGCAGTCATTCAAATCATGAATAATTTCTGTAAAAGAAGTCTCAGAGAACTTATTAATCACTTACAGAATATCATTCTCTACATCTGTGATAGAGAAACTCTCTGAATTCATGAATGAATCAATCTCAGTGAAGAACATTCTTGAGTATCTTTCACAGAATCAAGCTATTTTTCTACAAGAAATGCTTACTGTCTGCAAACACTCTCAAACTGAGTCTCTAGACATGATCTTCAGAGATATCTGTAAACTGAAAAGAAACTTTCTCAAGCTGTGATTACTTAAGATTATCTATCAAATTACAATCTATAAAAGCTTTTGCAAGTTTGTATTTGAAATTGACTCACAAACCCAGCTGTGTAATATAAAAGATGAAGAAGCTGTTATCTATATAATAACAGATCTCTATTACACTGAAGTCAAGAACTGGCTGAATTATCTAGAAAATGATTATGAGAGATCTCAATGATCTGTTCTTAAGACCTATCTAGAGAACAAGTTAAGAGACTCTGTGAGCTGAATAGAGAACACCTGAACTATGATCATTAATATTAGAAAAAGAGGTAAGAAATCTGATGAAGACTACTCACAGTGCTTTATAGAATTATAATATAAATTGAGACCTGTGAAAACAGAGCTCTGAAACAAGACCTGAATAATGATATTTATAAAGAGACTGAATAAAGACATGCAGAACAAGCTCATTGAGCAAGACTCTAAGTTCTTGACTCTGAAGAAACTGATGACTCTTATTCATTACTTACAGATCACTGTGAGAGTCACAGATCTGTAGAGAGTAAATCATTAACCAGCTCTGTGAGAGTTAGAATAACAGAGAACAGATTTATTAGAAAAAGATAACAAGACACAGAGAGATTCATATCTGACTGCTGAGTAGAAAAAGAGAGCTTTACAAGCTTCTGTAAACAGAGTGTATAACAGAGAGACTAAGAAAAAGAGACTCTGCTTCATCTGTTCTAAATCAGAACATCTTTATACAAACTGTCTGAATAAATTAAAATAGAAATTTGAAGAGTTATAGACAGAGTCAGTAACAGCCTTCTTAAGAGTCTTGAAGCTAACACCTGAATCTGTTACTCTCTCAATGAAAATACTTACTTACAGAGAGAGACTGTGCTGCAGTACTACTGCTCTGCAAGTATAAGAAGTATTGATAAACTCAGAATCTCAGGTCACTGTGATGTCTCTAAAGCTCACAGAGTGAATGAACTGAAAGATGAAGACTGAAAATCTGCTCTTACAATAAGTAAAGTGTGAGAACTCAGACCTGAGAACTGAGAGACTTGTAAAAATCATCTTTGAATTATAAGATCTCTCTGAAATCTGAAGAAGATTTGTGAAAACTGTAATTATCACAGATATCATAGATAACATGTATTTAAGACTTGTATAACTTCAAAGACATAATCTGTACATAGCTGTTTATAAGTCAGGTTTATACTTCTGATCAGTGTTGACAGACTTACTCACAGAGATAGAAGCAGTTAATACTGCAGAGTTGATTAGAGAAGACAAGCTCATTTATATAATAACTTTATAAGTGTCTGAGAATCTTGTGATCATGAAAACTAAGCTTCAGATATTAGAGAAATATCAAGATCTTACAGAGATATTCAGCTCAGCTAAGGCAGCTGAGCTTTCTTCTCACTGTGAGAAGAATCTGATAATAGATTTAATAGAAGAGCAGAAATTCTTCTGAGAATCAATCTATAAGCTCTCTCACTATAAGACAGAGATCTTGCAGATCTATGTGAAGAAGAATCTGAAGAATGACTTCATCTGATCTTCACAGGCCTTCACAGAAGTCTCTGTGATATTTATGAAGAAGAAGAATAAAGATCTTAGATTATATATAGACTATCACAATCTGAACTCTAAGATAATAAAGAGCTGCTACTCTCTGTCTCTGATTAAGAATGTGATTAACTATCTCACAGAAGCTGTCATATTCACACAACTGAATATGATTAATGTATATACATAACTGTGAATACAGTCTGAGAATGAATGAAAGACTGTCTTTAGAACTGCACTGAAATTATTTGAATATCTAGTGATGTCTTTTGATCTGACTAATATCTCTGTGATATTTCAGTCTTTCATTAATAAAACACTTCATGCATATCTGAATGTCTTTGTGATAATATATCTGAATGATGTGATAATGTACTTCATGAAGAAGAAAGAACATACTGAGTATATATAAAGTGTATTGAAGGTCTTAGATGAGACAGAACTGTATATTAAGCTTATGAAGTGTAACTTCAGTGTCTGCTGAATTAATTTTCTAGAATATGTAATCACTGTGAATAATATTCAGATGAAATCTTCACAGATTGAGACTATTCTATCATGACTGAAGTCAACTAGTATTCATAAGATTCAGATCTTTCTGAGCTTTGTGAATTTCTATAGACAGTTTATCTTTGTATTTATGAGAATCTCTTTGATTCTTACAGACATGCTGAAGAATGAAAATAAGAAGAAGTCATCTCATAAACAGAGAATGAAAAGATTATTGAGAAGAAAGAACTGTGAGAACTTTCTTATCTCAGAAGCTCACAGAGTCTTTGTAAGATTGAAATAGATATTCATGAATACAGTGATACTGTTTCACTTTGATTCCTTGCTTTTAATCAGATTAGAGACAGATGTCTTCTTCTTTACAATTTCAGAAATAGTCTTATAACTACAGTCAAATGAGAACTGAGTTTCAGTGATCTTTTTCTCATGAAAGATACAACTTACAGAGATCAACTATGACATTCATGATCAGAAGCTTCTTATAATAGTGAAATTCTTTCATTACTAGTGTCACTACTTTAAGAATCTCATGACAGTGATTACTGTTAGAACTGATCATGACAGCTTATAACAGTTTACTTCAATCAAGAAACTCTCACAGTGATAGATTTACTAAGCTCAGAGACTGAGTAAGTTCTGATTCAAGATAGAATATATTAAGAGAACTAAGAACTCAGCAGACAGACTCTCTCACAGGTCAGACTATATTAAGAAGATCAGAATGACAGATATAGAGAGACTAGAGAAGACAGAAAAGCTTTACAGAATGCTCAGACTGAGTGTTATGAAGAGATTGACTGAAGAGTCTCTCAATTCTCTGTGAGAGAAGAGGAAAAAGAGAGAGAAGAAGCCTGTATAACTACTCTCTATGATACTGAGAGTTAATACTCTGAGAATCTCTGTGAGAATTCTTGAAGAGAGTATCTATAATCTGAAGAGTTTGCAGACTTTGAGAAGTACTGTGAAAGACCTGATGTAAGAAGAAACAGAGTATAAGTCTTTGTAAAATCTTCTATTCAGATTGTCTGAACTGTAACTGAAGAATGAATA